ACTTGGAGTCAGAGGTTGTAGTGAGCCAAGATCAAGCCACTGCACTCCAGCCTAGGCAACAGAGTGAGACTCTGTCTCAAAAATCAATAAAAGATAAAAACACGAAATAAATAATTTATGAATCTACATTTAAATTAAAATTCATTTAGCATTCACTTCTCATAAAGTCAGTCTATGAAAAAAATTCCATTTTGATGAACACGAAAATTTGAAATAATATAGGCATAATCATTGCAATCTTTTATCAAGCTCAGCATTTAATTTACTTCCATCTATTGTTTTAGTTGCAAAAGATAAACAAATATTTAAAAACAGCTTGCCTTATCATCTGTCTCATCTTTAAACTGATTCAATTTGGAAAAGGAATACCAGAACATTTTTTAACTTTGAAAGTGAATTATTAAGACTATTGAAGCTGGATGCCATGGCTTATGCCTATAATCCCAACACTTTGGGAGGCCAAGGCAAGAGAATCACTTGAGTCCAGAAGTTTGAGATCAGCCTGGGCAACGTAGTGAGACTTTGTCTGTGCAAAAAGTTTATAAATTAGCTGGATGTGGTACTTGGGAGGGTGAGGTACTTGACCTCACTTAAGTCTGGGAGGTCAAGGCTGCAGTGAGCCTAGATCGTGCCACTGCATTCCAACCTGGGTGACCAAGGAAGACCTTGTCTCAAAAAAAAAAAAAAGACTATTGAATTTCCTGTCCTAAATAAAAAGCTGGACACAAAATACCCAAAACTTTTCATAAGCGGTAGAGCCTCAGGGCGGGTGCATCGCTCGTGAATGCACAACTGAGGCATGACAAGAATATGAACCAAAAATCCTGAGCCTTGTGCAGCAGTTGTCTTCTTGGGAACATCATTGCAGGAACAGATAGAAAAGACCAGGGCAGACCCATAACCTTCCTAATCAGTGGCACAGCTCGGTAATTTTTGGTGATAGAAGGCAGAATGGTAACAAGAGGCGATGCTTGTGACTTGGAAGGGACACGAGGAAACTTTCCAGAGTGTTGGACACTGTCTATATCTTGATATGGGTAGTGATTATATGGAGTATATATGTGGGAAAATTCATGAGCTATACACTTAAGAATTGTGCATTCTG